CAGCACCTGATGAATGCTTGTTGTCATAATAAATGAATAAAAATATATTGGGGGTTATAAAGCCTTTATAATATTTGTCAAAAAATAGCCTACTTCTTCATTCTTCTAACCTTTCGCTGTCTTCAGAATTAAATTATTCCTTATCGTATCCCAGGGGATAATTCAGCTTGTATTATAAGGTCAGTTGTTTTTGAGACCTCTATTTGAGGCCTTTATTCTTTATAGTTCCACCTACAATGTCTATCCTCATGCAAGTAATAAATGGTCTTTGAAATGGGGTGAGCCTTAAATGGGTTAAAATCCATTCTCTTCTCAAGTGTAGTGTCATATTCATATTGTCCTCAATAATTCCTTTCTTCACTAATATCAGATATTCCTTTTGATGTTTCTTAAATGACTACTGACAGCTAAAAAGTTGTCCTTCTCGGGCCTCCCCGGTGGCGCAGCGGTTGAGCGCTGGGTTGCGAAGCTGCGCGCGGCCTCTGCGGCGCTGGTTCGATCCCCGGCTGCTCCCCGGCCACCGGAGGAGGGTCCCACATGGCGCGCAGACCTCTCCTGCCGCCCGCTGCTCCCCTCAGCAGTGTACTTCGGTCCTTCTGCCTGCTCTGCTCCCCGCTCTGGCTCTGGTGAATTCTCTCGCCCTCCCGCGCTTCTGACTGTACCCAGTGCATGTATAAACAAAACAAACAAAGAAACCAGCAAACAAATAAATAAAGCATGCCTCTATAATAAAAAAAAAAAAAAAAAAAAAAAAAAAGTTGTCCTTCTCTTCTTGTCCCTGCAGAGCCTCGGGAATCAGTGCCTGTCTCTCTGTCTCTCACTTTAACTCACCGAAATTCCTCTTTTATTTGATATACTCTCATCTGGATAGCATTTTCCTTTATTTAATTTTTGTAAGTCTTCCCTTCAAACATTCCACATTCTGCTCATAAGTGACATCAGAATCTCTATTTCCTTATTACATCCTTCTTTTTTTTTTTCTATCCACCACCTTTCAGTTCCATCGGTACAATGATTACTTGCATTCTTGTCCCATTTGTGTTTCATTTTATGCTTGTTCCTCCCCCTCTCCATTCCTTAGGTTTTCATGTTCTCTCCTTGGGCAGGTCTGTGGACTGGGGGAAGTGTCAACTCCAATACCTCACTTTCACAGGTGTGCAGAGTAAGACCTTTAGATAATTGGGGGATAAAGGCTATTGCTGCATATTTTTTATTCTTTTTTGTTTCTTATCTTTTCTTATACTAAGATTTACTTGCAGGAATTTTCAGTCTATTGTGTGAGGTTAAGTGCCTGTAAAGATTCCCTTTGATTTTTTTTTGATGTGCTTATTTCTTTATATGAAAAAATGTATAGCATTCTTCTAACCATTATCTTAAATCTAATTCATTTTCTATTTTTGATGTGTTTAGTGACCATTCTGTATTAGCCATTACCATTTGACACTGCATTTTCTTTTTTAAGATGACAGCCTCACCCTCAGAGCAAGCCAATCATTCTTAACTCAGCAGCTTTAGCCACATTCTCCCAGATCCCAGGCAAGTGGTCTTTGCCATGAGCCTCCATAAGGAACACTTTTCTGATGTTCACTTCTGGGACAAGCTTCCTCCCACAGTTGTCACAGCCACTCAGATCACTGTAGAAGATCTTTGTCCACATGAGAAACTGACTTTGTCCTCTTTCCTGAAGAGTGATGTATGAATTGCCAGGCAGCATCTTTCAACCTAGACCTTGGGATGCCTCTGCTGCTCTGCTATTCGTGAATCACTTTAGGTTCATTTGGATTGGTAGTGGTTTTCTGGAATTGGTAAACGTGATCAGTGACAGTGTTTTACATTAATTTCTGTGGATTTCTCTGAAACAATCTCTGGGCTGACATGTCTTCTCCCTCCTACCACCTTCTTCTTCCAACCCCAGAGTTTCCAATGGTAGGAATCTATATTTGTATATATGCATCCTTTTGTATAGCTCTAAATCCTGGTGTGTATAAACTACACAGAGGTATTTTTTTAAGATTTATTTGTTTATGCATACAAGAACTGAGGTACTGGCCAGAGGTGTGGGGGGTGAGAGGATTCACCAGAGACAGAATATGAAACAGAACAGGCATATTGACTGAAATATGCTGCTGAGGGGAGCAGCAGGCGAGTCAGGAGAGGTCTGCAGCACCATGTGGGTAGCTCCCTGGCCGGGGATCAAACTCGTGCTGCCCTGGCTGTGGATAGCTTCATAGGATGCATCTTAACCCCTTGCACCACCAGGGAGGCCCTACACAGAGGTATTTTTCACTAATGTACAGCTCCATGAGAGAAGTGTGTGTACATATTTTTATTAAGGAGCAATTTTCTCTGACTGGCATTATATAACTCATATCTTGTTATATTGCAAGTTACAGAAAGTTACAGAAATATAATCAAAGTGCCCTAGGCAAAAAAGAAAAGCAAAAGGTCAGAGGGATGTGAGCTCAATAACTGGAAAGTTTTGGAAATAAAGCTAATGTGAGATATGACAGTTCCCAGGACTTGCAACAGTGTCATCATGAATATGTTTCCATATCCTAGTCCTTTTTCCTCTGCTTCTTCTTCACAAAGACTTTCCCCATGTGGAGACAAGATAGTTAATGGCATATAGGCTTATGCATTTAACAAATGTAAATTATTTTTTGTTAATTCCAGGAAAATACTCAAGGTAGGATTCTCATGGTCCCAACATGGATTTTGTCTTCATTCTCAAACTAGGATTCCCTGTCATGCTAGAATGATGCAACACTCTGAATGGGCAATAGTGGATCACACCCACCTCCAGATATGGGTGTGTCAACCCCACCCAGCCACATGGACCAAGAGGAGGAAAGGATTGACTCCCTAAACATCAGCAGGAGTGCTATTAAAAGATGCTGGTCAGGCCAAAGAGGATTTGTGCACTAGAAACGTCATCTGCACTGGGGGGGATGGGGGAGGAGAGGTGGAGAGAGAGAGAAAACAGGGAAAGTCAAATGGGGGGTCTAAGGAAAGATTGTTATTTAAACTGAAAGACACTTATTGAATGGAAAAAAATATTTCCACCCCATACATCTGAAAGGAGTTAATATCAAGATCTGTGAAGAACTCATACAACTCAAAAAACAATACAATCAAAAATGGGCAGAAGAGCTAAATAGACACTGAGCCAAAAATGACAGGCACATGATGCCAATAGGCACATGAAAAAGTGTTCATCATCAGGAAATGCAAATCAAGACCACAATGAAGTATCATCTCCCAGATACAACAAATGTTGGTGAGAGTGTGGAGAATATGGAGTATTTCAGCCTCTATGGAAAACAATATGGAGATTTCTCATAGTAATAGCAATGGATCTACCATATGATCCTGCAATTCCTCTCTTAGACATCTACCCAAAGATTACAAAAACACTAATTCAAAGGTATAAATGTACTCCTACATTCAGTACAGCACTATTTAAAATTGCCAAATTATGGAAACAATTTAAGTGTCCAATGACAACTGAGTGGATAAGGAAGACATGGTATGATGCACAATGAAATACTACTAAACTATAAAAAAGATGAAATTTTACCATTTATGACAACATGGATGGAACTAGAGGGCAATATGCCAAATGAAATGTCAGAAAGAGGGCCTCCGTGGTGGCACAAGGGCTTAAGTCTCAGCACTATGAGGCAGTCCACAGCCACTGCAGCATGAGTTTGATTCCCAGCCAGGGAGCTGACCCACATGGTGCAGGAGACCTCTCCTGTCTCACCCGCTGCTCTCCTCAGCAGTGTATTTCAGTTAATCCACCTGTTCAGTTTCCTACTCTGTCTCTGGTGAATCCTCTCACCCCCTGCTCCTCTGGCCTGTACCCCAGTTCTTGTATGCATAAATAAATAAATCTTTTTTAAAAAAGACAGAAGTCAGAAAGAAAAAGGCAAATACTGGATGATTTCATTTTTGTGAAATATAAAGAAACAAAACAAAGAAACTGACTAAACTAAACCAAAACAAACCCTAGAAATATGACTGAGGGAACTAGAGGGGGCGGGACCCAGTGGATGGTGGTAGAGGATTATTGCTGCTTTTGGTGGTAGGTATATGGTAACATACATTTGAAGAAATTTGAGCCTGTACCCCTAAAACATATATAGTGTAAACCAGTGTCACTTCAACAACATTTTTTTATTTAAAAAATAAAGTATTTTTAATTAAAAAGAAAAATCCATGCTGAAGCAGAAATTGATCTAGATATGTCCTGGTATTTTTTTCTGTAATCATCCATCCGTTGTTCTTTGACCTCTAATCAAGGTGATGTGAAGGTGAGTGTCTGTGCCCAGCACAAAGGAGAAGCAGCACTGTCCCCTACATGGCCCTGGACATAATTTGAAGAGTGTCTGTGTATTGTTCTTAAGATATCACCCCCAGTCAATTTATCCCACTCTGCTGGGACCAACGTTGGCAGCAAGTTCCACAAGGACTCAGCTACAGGCCAGAGAGCTAAAAGACTCTCCCGGTCACCACTACAGAGCAGCTTCATGGAAATTAAGTATAGGCCAACCATGTCCCTGGGGGCTCAGCTCTCAATGATGCTGAAATCATTAGCTGTATGTTCAGCTACAGCTTCCTTCTCTGTCTTCTGAAAAATTGTTTAAGCAGGAAGAGGCAGCAGATGGAGCTGGTGGCTAAGAACAGTACCCATTTTAATTCCCAGATACTTTGTCAGTCATTGGGATGCAGCGACCTCCAGAAACAGGGATGTTTTGCATTAAATCAGAGATGGCAGTGTGCTTATTCCCTAGCCATGCTAAGCTGTGACCACTCACACTAGCTATAAACAAGTATATCATTCCTGAGGCACAGGGAGTGGTGACCATAGCAACAAATCATCTAAATATATTATTTTTTGGTTCAGCTTGCCTTTTGTTAAACCTCCTTTTTCACAAATGACTGTGTTACTGTTCCTGTTGTAATTAGACTTTCATTTTCTCTTTTTAAACAATAAACAGGAACAAAGAAAGAAGTGCAAAAAGATCAAGATGTTAATAAACCTGCTGTTTCATCACCTAAGAGAATAGTGGCTTCAACCACCAAGATTCATTCTCCAGGTACTTAAGAAATGTGATCTGTGTTATTTGGGGAGAAGACTTTGACTTGAAATTTATTTTGAAACATGGCATTAATGGAGCAGTGCCAGTCCAGGTGGTATGCGTGATTGTTCCAGGACTTGACATACATATAATGATGTTTTCTGAGTCTAGATAAAATGAATCAGCTGTCACCATCATTTTGTCTTTAAAAACAACATGTTATTATGCTGAGTTTAAGTCGTAGAATCTTCTTCATGTAGGAGTATCTGCTATCCCAACAGCATATAGAAATAATTTGTAATTTAAAAATGGACTTTAAAGATCTAACTTCAAGAGATACTATTTTCTAAAAGGAAGAAAAGCAGACAAGTAAAGCCTATCAAAAACTTATTTTGACAATGAGGAAACCATTTCTTTACATTCAAATATGAGTAAACGATCATTTGAAATCTGAAAATTATTTATTATAAAAATCCATATTATAAGGCATTAACCCCTGTGTAGAATACAATCCAAATATAAAATCAGATCGTTTTCTTTAAGCATGAAAATAATAGCAATAATAGCTAGAGCTAATATTTGTGTTCTCACTGTATGCCAGATATGGTCTAAATTCTTAAATGTATGAATCTATTTAATGACCACAATAGCTATATTGAGACAGGTCCTACTATTGCCCCCTTTACATGTGAGGATATTGAAGTATAGAGATTTTCATTAATTTATCCAACATCACAGGAAATAAATAATAGCATGTTGATTTAAGCCCAGGCACTCTATATACAGAGGTACCCAGAATCCCAAAACTTCTTGCTTAGTCACTAAACTATTAACCAGAAATCTTGGAAAATAAAATATTTGTTAAAATTTCTGGGTAACTTGAAATGTATAGGAAGAAAGCCAAAGCCACACATGTGAGAATCAGAAGACAAAACTAATGCCTAAATAGGGTGGGAGATGGATCAGTGGACCCTGCAAAAATCTCAAATTTCAGACAGGCAACACACACCTTCAGTGGCTGAACTAGGATGAACTAGGAAGAAAAAAAAACTTACCCTGAGAGAGGAGACTGACCTATTGGAATGTTGGGTTGAGGGAAGTGGGGATGCCCTCTCTTAAGATTCTCCACCCACCAGGGCCTCCCCTGGTGACGCAGTGGTTGAGCGCTGGGCTGTGAAGCTGCCCGCAGCCTCTGCAGCGCCGGTTCGATCCCCGAGGGTCCCACATGGCGCGACAGACCTCTCCTGTCTCACCTGCTGCTCCCCTCAGCAGTGTGTTTCATCAGTCTGCCTGTTCTGTTCCCCGCTCTGGCTCTGGCAAATTCTCTCACCCTCCTGCGCTTGACTGCACCCAGTGCTTGTATAAATAAATAAATAAATCTAAAAAAAAAAAATTGACTCCTTTAAAAAAAAAAAAAAAGATTCTCCACCCCCCAATCGATTTGCCCTTCCTCAATTTGGGAGCTTTTAATCCAGCTACCACTGTGGTCTGAAAATTCAGTTTAAGATGCTGCAATACTTATGTTCACATTGGAAAATAAAATGTAAAATTATTTCACACAAGGAAAGAAGCCACCATGAGTAAGGTCCTAATATTCTTGGGAACAGAGTGAGAAGAGGTATTGTGTAAACTTAGCCTTTGTTAACTTACAATATGTATGTTAAAATTTCTATGGTAACAATAGTTTACCAAACCAAAAGAGAGGAAAGAGATGAAATAAGGATTTTTTTCAATGCAGAAAAATGCAAGTAAAGAGAGGAAAGAAAAAAAAAAAAACAGGAATAAAGGGGAAAGAAGGAAAAGGTGATGGGGGAAATTGGAAGAATACCATAAGAGATTAGAAATGACTTCAAATGTCAAAAAGAATGTTTATGAACTAAACTCTCTAGACTAATCAAAGATTTAGATTGCCAGAATATTAATCAAAAACTATTCATAAAGTGCTTCTCATATGCCATAAAGTTTAGACTGTTCACGAATGTACATTAAAATATGGGAATATTAAAAGGTTCAAAGGAAAACAATGGAAATATTTATACCATGAAAATACTAAACAAAAGAAAGTTAGTGATGCTGTAGTTTTGAAACGTCTTTATTGTGGTACAGTTAACAAATACTAAACTACATGTATTTAGAGTATGCAATTTGATAAGTTTTGACACAGATGTACAAATCAAGATAGCAAAGTGTCCCTGTCCCCATTTATAATCCTACCTGCCTTCCTCTGTGTACCCATCTCCCTACCCCCATTCTGTCATTATTAAAGCGTTTGCATTTTCTAAAGTTTTATATAAATGGAATCACATATGTGTTTTTTTTTATCTGCCTTCTTTTACTCAGTATAATTAATTTGAGAGCCATTCATGTTGCCATAGTTAATTCCTTTTCATTGACAAATAGTATTCCACTGCTGTGAGGATGCCACAATTTTTCTGTTTACCTATTATGCACTTTGGTCCCCCCAACTCCCACCCAAGTATTTGACAATTATAAGTAAATACTGCTATTCCAATTTGTAGAAGTCTTGATTAAGACATCTTTCATTTCTCTTGGGCAAATATCTGGAATGACTGGGTCATATAGTAGTTAAATGTTTATTCTTTAAAATGTTAAAAAAAAAAAAGGGCCTCCCCGGTGGCGCAGCGGTTGAGTGCTGGGTTGCAAAGCTGCCCGCAGCCTCTGAACGCCGGTTCTATCCCCGGCCGCTCCCCGGCCACCGGAGGAGGGTCCCACATGGCGCACAGACCTCTCCTGCCTCCCGCTGCTCCCCTCAGCAGTGTACTTCGGTCCTTCTGCCTGCTCTGCTCCCCACTCTGGCTCGGTGAATTCTCTCACCCTCCTGCGCTTCTGACTGTACCCAGTGCTTGTATAAATAAATAAATAAATCTTTTTTAAAAAAAGAAGAAAAAGAAAAAGAAACAGTACAAGTCTGTGGGGAAATAAACTCATTTTTAAAAAATAAATAAATAAAATGTTAAAAAAGTTTTCCAAACTGTTTTTCCAAAATAGTTGTACCACATTATATTTCCAACAATAGTGTAAAAGAGTGCCAGTTTAGTGGTTGCTTTAGGGTCCATCATCTACATTTTTAAATTTTTACATTCTAGCTTCAAGTGATATCATATCACCTCATATATTAGTGTAAGAATCTTGCAAGTGTGTGTTCTTACTGGCTTTTGTGTTTTTGCTGTCAAACGTTTTAGTTTATATATGTCATAAATTCATACTATGTTATTATGATTATCAGCACTCAGTTATTTTAAGAAATTTAAGTATGAAAAATATCTTTTCATTTGTGAGATTAGTTCTCATTTCTAATGTTCTTTATTTGTATGGATCCAAATTTCCATCAAACATCATTTTTCTTCTGCCTAAAATATTTCCTTTAATATTGCTTATATTGGAGGTTTGGTTGTGATGAATTATTTCAATTTTTGGTTACCTGAATTTTTGATAGATAGTTTTACTTTGTTTAGAATCTAAATTGGCATTTTCTCGGTTAAGCATTTAAAGATGTTGTCTCATTGACTTCTTTATGGTTTGAGTGGTTTCCAATGAAAAATTGTTGCTCTTATTTTCTCTGTGCCTAATGTCTTTATCTTCTCCAGCTGCTTTCTATAGATGTTCTCTTTATCATTTGTTTTGAACAATTTGATTATTATATGCTTTGATATAATTTTCTTCATGATTTTTATGCTTGAAGCTGGCTGAGATTTCTTAGATCTGTGAGAATACAGTTTTCATGAAATTTTGGGGAAAAAATGCCCATTGCTTCTTAGGGAATCCAGTTATACATATGTTAAGCCACTTGAAGTTGTGCCACAGCTTATGTCCAAAGTGATATTCTGTTCATTGAGTCTTTTTTCCTCTGTGTACTTCGTTTTGGATAGCTTCTTTCATTAAATATTCACTATTTTTTTCCTTTAAAAAAAATAATGCTCATCTGTTAGTTCCCATTTTTGTATGTCACATGTACAATGTGACTTCACTGCAGTGTCTGCTTAGAGTGTTACAGGCTGAGTTCCAGGTAACAGTGAGCTGAGTTCTAGTTGAAGGTTCTGGAGAAAATTCTACCTTCCAACTGATTCAGGTTGCTGGTAGAACAAGTTCATTGTAGTTTTGTATTATAAAATTGAAATCCTATTTCCTTCTTGGCCTTAATCAGAGTTCAACATTAACACTTAGGGCCACCATATTCCTTGCAATGTGGCCCCCTCCATCTTCAAAACAATAGTGGTATATTGAATCTTTCCCAAGCCTCAAATCTCTGACTTCCTTCTCTGTGATCAGCTGGATAGCACTCTACTCTTAGTGGACTCACCTGATTAGGTGAAGTTCACCAAGGGTAATCTTCTTGGTACAGAATGTAATATAATCATGAAATTTGTGTCTCATCTTTATCACAGGATCTGTTCACATTTAAGAGCATTATGCTAGTGTATTAGTCAGTTCAGGATGCTTTATCAAACACCATCGTCTGGGAGGCCTAAACAATAGAAAATAATTTCTCACTGTTTTGGAGAACAGGAAGTCCAAGAGCAGTGAGTAAGCTTTGCTGGTAAGGGCCCTTCTTAGTTTACAGTCAAATGCCTTCTTGCACTAATCCCATTCATTGAGACTTAATGATCTAACTACTTCCCTAAAATCCCACCCCCAAATACCATCCCATTGGGACTTTAAAATGTGAATTTTGGGGGAAGGAAAGTATTCAGTTCATAGCAGCAGGGTGCAAGAATCACCTCATTTGTTTTCTGATTGTCAGGAATTGCTGTACTTCATTATCTCATGGTAATATCTTGAAAAACATGGTCTTATATATTACAGTCAAATTTTTTGAGGTAGTTTAAGATTAGAAGATAAATTTGATCCTTCTTACTTTAAAAATAGCTATATTTTAGAATTAAAATTTAGCAGTTGCTATAACTCTACTATACCATGATTTTTTACCCGTAGTGAAAGGAGCTCAGTTTTAACTTATAACTTGTAAATAATAAGAAATTTCCTGAATATGAGAATAT